TCATTGAATAACACTGAAAATGCGCGATTCATTTATTGTGAGTGGAATCGATTGTGTTTCGTTTTATTCCCAACTTAATCATTTGAAAATTCATTGATCAGCAAGGAAAACTGTTGACTGATATATCGTGAAAAGTTTAGTGGCCTTTTTGCGCTTGTTGTTTGATAGAATTGGGAGTTTTGTTTGTTTGTTTGTTTGTGTAGGGTATTTGAAGGGATATTTACGAAACGGATTCGCTTTTAAGGATGCTTCAAAAGCGATCGACATTGAAGTAGATGATTTGCCTCGATTGAGTTTATTGATGAGTGAGGAAAGTTATCGAGAATGGAGAGTGAAATGGCAAAAAGCTATCGATCAAATTGATCGCATACTGCAATTACCGTTCGACGAATTCTGGTCAAGTCTCATTTATTCACCAAAACCGATGAATTATGTCGATTCATTCCTTGATGTTTTCCCAAGGTTATTGCTGATTCGTTTGATATTATTAATCAGTTAATTAATTGGATGAAGCATTTCAATGAAATTTAATTAGTGCATTGATTTCATTGGATTCATTGCATTGTTGCATTTTGTATACACTTTGACATTCGTAAGGATCAATCCCGTTGCGTAATAGTTATGAATTACGCATCTCTATTGTACAATCTATCTCTGAGAGTCGTTTCTCTCTCGAAACAGTCGACTATTATTTCGACTTCATACCCAGTCTGCAAACATCTGAGTTTCATAACCGATCTGCAATTTAGCGTTCAAATACAGTGGAAGAGAACACTGTGAGTCATAATGCAATCAAACTAATGCTATCGATGTTGTGAAATAATATTGTAACTAATAATGGTTATGCGTTTTAAATTGTGATCAGTTAAGGAGATGGGAAATAGACGAAATGAAGCTTTATGTGAATACAGATGCAATGGTTTGTACGCTTTCGATGAGTTTATTTGAACGGGTCATTCTTGTACTGCTTAGAGCGGTGACTAATAATGAGAACTCGGTATGTATTCAGTCATTTTCATTTATAATTACCATCATAAATAACTGAATAATAATAATAATTATTAATAATAATAATCAAATGATCGAAACACTTGAACAATAACAATGATCGAAATTTATTGCATTATCAACAATAATGTCATGATGCACTAATACAATTCCGTAATAATGATCAAGTAATAGTAAATGTTTTCAGTTATGTTTAAGTGATGAGTTCTATTTGCGTGTAATCTACGACTATAAAATCTTCACAATTGAACGATTGTTCAATTTGATAAACGTCTATTGCAAATCGAATGCTCAATCGATTTCCATTATATTGCAACGAACAATTGGAGTTCAGAATAAATTTATGCATGATGCGAATAATTTCGTTGATATTTGTGCAAAGGTAATGTTTGCTTTTGTGATGCTCATTGTCAGTTCGAATTTCATTCTTAGCTTTTGGTGTGTTTGTGAATGTGTTATGTGAATGCGCAATGTCACTTACAAAATCAAAGAATTGTTCGGGCGGTGAAGATAACGACACTCATTTATACTCATAAATATCTTTGTATTCACCTCCATTACATTTTTGTGTTTTGACATTGATCTTTCTGTTGGAAAATATTTCTTTCGAAATTTATGTGGTACCATTTTATTTTTGACAAATAAACATTGATTCAACATCGTCTTTCTCCAAATTTGCCTTATCTTGGCTGATCCTTGAGTGGTTTCTTGGGGTTATAAATCCAGAATTGCTAATTAGAAAATAGTAGTCTGCCTCGCTTGAATCTATTCTTAAAGAAGGGTTCTATTGAAGTCTTCTCTATTCTATCGGGTTTCTTCTTTTCATCGTTTTGAAATGTTTTGTA